TATATATATATATATATATATATATATATATATATATATATATATATATATATATATATATATATATATATATATATATATATATGGGATTTTCTAAGCTTATATTCACATTTTATGTAGCCTGGCAAGAATAGCTTTGTGATTTGAATTCACTCGATGTACAGATTGTGAAGGAGACCTTGAGGATGGCAACGATTGTGTCTTGGTTTCCGAGAGTGGCACTGAAGGACTCTGAGATCGGAGGTATGTGGTGGACAAAGGCCCAATAGTAGATATGCTGGCCTGCTGCTAGAACAGAAAGCCTTCTTTTGTCAAAATTAAGAGTCAAGGTTAATGAGCTTTATGCAGTTTGTTTTTAAGTCTGCCAGTGAAGCTCTTTGTCCTGGTTCATAATTAAGTCATCTGCATATTTATTTGAGAAAGAAGATTAGTAGCTTTCGTAAAGGTATTTGAAGTTCAATTCTTTATCTGCATTTCCAATTTTGACTGTCTCTCTTCTGTGGTTCACTCATCTTGATCGGCACATAGTGGTATCTTACAGTCCTAGGCCTCAAAACCATGCCTTTTGTGATATTCGTGAAAGGAAAATCTGACTTAAACAGGTCTTAGCTACTGATAAGGTTTCATAGCTTTACCGAAAAATATTTGGCTTTTCATAACACTGATTAGTATCTTTGTGTGTATTCCTAACAGGATTAAGGATTCAGAAAGGGTGGATTGTGAATGTAAATGCGAGGTCTATACACTATGATCCTGTAGTGTATGATGACCCAGTGAAGTTCAATCCATCGAGGTTCGACGTAAGTTACTTGAGCTGGCATCCTATGAATTGCTAACAGGTTTGGTTGCCCGATTAGAACAAACTTTGAAGGTATTAGCTAGTTCATTTGTTGTCCACGTTCACTGATATAGCCAAACAAATGAGACTTGAAAACAAAAAGAACACCCATGGAGGAAGCATCTTGTTGTCCATGACATAGATGCCAACGATCGACCAAGCTATATATGCTCGTTGGTTTTTTTTTTTTTCCTTTCCCTTTCATTTTTTTAATATCAGCTATGTTTTCCTCTGATACAGGATGACTCCAAGCCCTATAGCTTCTTGGCATTTGGAACAGGAGGGAGGATCTGCGTGGGAATGAACCTAGCCAAGGCTATGATGCTAGTTTTTCTACATCGGCTCGTTACGACATACAGGTGGGTTCCCCCGGAATTATTCTCTCTGTTTTCACCTTACCTTTTGCTCTGATCCAATCTGTTGTTTACTTTTGCGGTTTTCCTTGCATTCTTATCAGAGAATAAAAGCTATAGGATTATAGTTTTTAACTTGTGAGTAGAATTGGCATTAAAAGAAAGGGAAAAAGGAGATATTTCAAAGCTTGTGGCTTATTGTTGATCAGGTGGAGGGTGACTGATTCGGATTCGAGCTTGCAGAAAGGAGCAATGTTCCCGATGCTGCGAAGCGGGTGTCCTATCACCGTCTCCCGTGTTGTGGTAGAGGCTAAATTACCTTAGCGATGGGGGAAGCGTGCCATCTGATGTGGTGTCGGCATGTTAATGTGAAACAGATGCAGTTTATGCCATGGTATGTGCCTGATTTCAAATGTATCAGAGGTGCAGTGAGTTATTAAATCTCATCTCATGAATCCTGTGATCATGTTTGATGACGCTCAAATAAGGATCATTTTCCTCTCTCTTTTTTGTCACTCATCAGCATTGTTAAGGTTGATTCTGACATGATCCTTTTGGCTCATCATCATCAGGATCATTTTCCTGTCTTTCCTCGTGCAGCCATATTGTTTTTTCCTTCTGTGCGACACAGGGATTAAGTAATAATCTGTAACGATGAAAGCCAGTAAATAGAAATGGCATCTGTATTCAATCAACACCACAATAAGTAGAAATGAGTGTTCTTTAACATCATCTTTCAATTTGTCTGATTGCGTCTCCTCGAGACACGCATAACAACATCCATCATTCGTGCACTTCATAGGAGGGATTTGATTTTGAGCCAACAGCTTTATTTATTATGCCAATAGATTTTAGATTCTTTCCTAGTACGTACGCATCCTTCTTACATGTCTTGGAAAGGCAACCTCCACGAGAACTATTCATGATCAAGTCAACCCGTGCTATACGATTGATAACGAGCAAATTTTGTTGATACATCAATAAATAAACGGCGAATTTTCCGGGAAAAGCCATCAGCTGGTCATATTCTCCTTGTACGTGTGGATTCATTCCAAGGAGAAGTCTCATTGGTATCGCTTTGCATCAGAAGATCAATTAATATTCTATATATCATAGAAGCAAGAGGTGGAACCAAGGGAGGTGGCTCCAGACGCTCTAACACTCCACGCGAATCGAGGGATCCAATTCTAATTAAAGATATATGATGGAGAGTCTCGGCCCGTAGCAACTCATCAGGATCTAGATTTCATTTACCAACCCTGAAGAGGAGCGCAATGTTTTTTCTTAGTTCTTCGACCTTGGGAAACCTCCCCCGTGAAGTGGAAAGCAAACTATCATTACTCGCACGGAAGAGGCAACACAAGCATTGCTGCACAACCATACCTTGGAGAACCAAAGCCACGAATGACATCAAGCAATAAAACGAAAAAGAAGGGGAAATTACCAGTTTATTTGCATGCACGTACCGAACAAGCAATATTACCACTGCTACTAGAGTGGTAAGCTGCGGAGCACGACAGTCTCGATGCTGAGCCCCGGTCCAAACCCAAAGAGCACCCCCCCACTGCAGTCCATCCCCGGTGGTCGCCCGCCCCTCCACCACCGACCGCTTCCTCACCTCATCCATCACGATATACACGGTGGCGCTCTGCATGTTGCCGTACTCGGCGAATACATGCCGTGCTGTGCTGAGCTTCTCCGGCAGGAGCCCCAGCTTGGACTCGATGGCGTCGTCCATGATGGCCCAATTTCCCGGGTGCGCCACCCAGAACACCTCGTTCCAGTCGGTGATGCCCAAGGGCTTGAATGCGTCCGCGAGGCTGTTCCCGATGTTGTCGGCGATGATCATGGGCAGCTGGTTGAAGAAGTGGAATGTCAGGCCGACCTCCCGGAGGTGGCCTCCCACAGCCTTCTCGCTCTCCGGCACCGTTACTTGCGTGGCCGACATGATCTCGTAGATCGTCGGAGGAAAAAGAAGCATTAGCTACTTCAATTTGCTCTGCCAAGTCTCGTCGGAGGAAAAAGAACAACAAAAATTAATATACCGTCTTCCGAAGCAGTGCAAATGATCTTCACCCGTAAACCCTGAACCACGTAACACTTGTTTTGATCTATGTTTCTTTCATCACCTTGTCGCTTACCGGTCCTTCCATATATTCCTTGAATCAGTAGCTTTCTCCCTTTTGCCGTCGTTCATTTCAGCGTTGCCAGTTGCCAGAATGCTGATGGAAGTGTCTGATTGAGTCTTGTCCGAGCTGACATGATTCGTCAACCGTAGTGCTCATTTGTGTATAACATCTTGAGCAAAGGGGAGGAAGCATCCCCTCCCCATTTCATTCATCACTAGGTTCAGATAATAAGCGATGTACGACCAGGTCAGCCTGAGAAGAACATCTGAACAAGCTAAGTAAAATGGACCAACAGATAAAGATCAGAAAGCTTACAACAATATCGATAATGGCTTAAAATGCAGACGACTAGTAGGGATTATTACGATCGTTTGCGTATGAAATATTCCGCCTTCCATACTTACCATAACCATATCATGCTCAAACATTTTCGCACCCATCTTAGATGCACACAGTTCAGCTACACGTTAGCTGACTCACCAGGGCAGAAGAACCTTCGCACCTCTCCACCCATCCCAAGTGGTGGGGAAGACCTTTCACCCACCTCCCCTCCCTCCCCTCCCACCCCCTTCGTCAATCAAAATTTTAGGAAAGGTCGCACGTTCGATCGTAGGGACTATTAATCTCACGCGGCAAAACTCATTTCCTCCTTTGTGAAGCATTAATCTATGATGGCGAAGCCTATCTCCCCCTTTCTCCGGTAGCACTAATCATTGACCGTGAAACTCATCTCCCCCTCTCCGAGAGTATTAATCCCTAACGGCGAAACCTAACAGAAGATAAGATTTCTACAGCTGCTTGAGGAAATCTCTCCAAACTAACTGATAAAGAAAATCTTTCCCTCTGTCAACCGGTGCAGTACATGTTCGACCGGATTCGGAGCCAATTAATTTGGCAACAGGAAGATTAATGAGCAAATCCATTTTATAATCCCAGATATTTTCTCATGAAATTAAACATTATCAGGCATGCAATAGGTCAGAGATGACGTCCCCGGCACCTCCTCGCATCTCTTTCTAGGACAATGACGACCGGCATCACTCATTTGTTTCTCGTGTTGGGGAAATGGACACGTGGAACACACGAATAAATCGTAAGGAAAACATATCCGGTGGGTTGTGGCCATACGGATGATGAGATGTCGTCATCGTAAGGTATGAACTCTTTTATTGTGCGATCACCGAGGGAGGTCAAACCATCACCCCGTCAACATCCATTTGGTAGCTTTAATGACCACTACGAGCTTGATTTGGGCACTTCAAACCATGGCTCTACCTACCTACCTACTAATGTAACTTTGTTATACATCCTAACGACGTTGATGAGGAAGATTAGAAAAAATTAAAAGAAATATATATATACTTTCAGGTGCCATGGTCGGTCTTGTTTTCACAAGCATATGGGATGTTGCAATCCGATTTTGATTATGTAATAAAATCTTTTATAATTTATTATAAAATTTTAGATTTGAATCTCACATCTATAATTTATTATAAATCGAATTTGATTAAAAAGGAAGCCCTAATCTTGCAAGTATTTTCATCTGTGTGCTGTGTGTTTATTCGTTCAGGGGTTTTACATTGTTTGGGGTTTATCTGCTAAATCTCTTGACTGGGCCAGATCCGGCCCAAGACAGGTCAGATGTGGGCCACAGACAGCTAGACCCGTGCCAAAGACAAGCCAGGCCGGAACATCTACGGCCTAGGCCGAGCCGAAGCCGAAGCCGAGCAAGCATCGGTCCAGGCCGGACTATGGATGAGCCGTATTCGGCCCGAGAAAGGTCAGATCTAAGCAAGAACCAAGCTATATCCGTCCCAGAGACGGGCCAGGCCGAGCTTTTTCTGGGCCGTATCCTGACCAAAACAGGCCAGTAGCAAGTTAGACCCCGGGCAGGCCACGCCAGAGTTGGGTCAACAAAGATCTAGACCCCGGGCACCAATTCGGCTCAAAATTGGGCCGACGTATATGGCTGAGGCGGCTCAGACCCGCAACACGCTAACTGGAAACACCTCCCGGTAAGGTTACTGCGTCACCGATGGGCAACAAAGAGGCCCAAAAAAAAAATTTCGGCATCAAATCCTTGAGATTTTTGTGTTCTTATTCTTACCTGCGGTGATTGTATCCTACATCTAGATCTGCAATGACACCTGTTTGGGCCGCCTGATTAAGGTCCATCTAATCTCGTGGGTGGCCTTATATAGTATGCGGTCTACAACTACGACGCGAGGTTAGCACCAACGGCCCGTGTGGGACCGGGCCGCAGAGACCTATCCGTATGACAAACTCCAACCCGTTAAGTGAGGGTATGAACACGCACATCTGAGCTTACCTTATCTTAGTTTGGCGACGGAGTGTCCCAAAAAAATATTTTTGGCATCAAAACCGTGAGGTTCTTATTCTTATCGTCAGTCGCGGTGACCGGATCCAGTAACATATAACTTGGGCCTGGATGGGCGGCGCCAGCGTCGCTGATTCCCACCGCGGTCCCCAACGCTGGTCGGACTCACCGTCGACAAGGAAAACTGACTAGACGAGAAAGAGGAAGCGGAGGACAAATCCACGAGCAGGAGGATGACGAGGGGAGAGAATAGCTGGAGGAGAAGTAGAAGAGGAAGGAGAAAATAGTTGGGGGCAAATAACAGAGAGAAAAAGTAGCGACCGAGGAGGAGAAAGGGCAAGGAGCTGAATGAGAAGGAAGAAACTAAAGAATCAGTGGCCCAACCCGACTGCACTGTCACCGGCTTCCTCGTCCGTCCCGGTCGCCGCTCCTCTCCGGCCCGTCTGTGTCTCCGATGCCAATGCTATCGCATAACTTGGGCCCAAAGGTCGGCCCTTATTCACTTGGCGAAGTAGAAGAAGAAGAAGAACCAAGTTTGGAAGCCTTAGCACATGAAAATGGGGTACAAGCGGTCACACGTGAGCTTACCCAGAACCAGTTCGGCGAAAACCCGGCGCCGGGAAAAACTTTTTGGCCTCAAATGCTCCAAGTTACGTGTTCCTATTATTAGTCTCGGTGATCGGACTTTACAGCGGCCGTTGAACATCCGCTGCAGCCTGCCGATGCCCGTCGTCTTGGACGCCAGCTGGACTCGCCGCTCCCGAAGAATGTTGGCGTCGTGATTCGACTTACCACTTGGGATCATCCATCATGCACTCTCTTGGCGTTAACCAAGCAGTACGGTAGATGGTAAGATTAGAAAATGCAGTGGCTTTTTGGAAGGAGAATACGTGTACATATTAAATATCTAATAGTTTCGAAAAAGAGGAGAAGAAGATAATGGAAGATCATATCGATACGCATTGTCTCCCGTTACATGATTGAATTCTCCTGGCACTCGGAGGAAGGATGGGGAGAGACTCCATGGTAATGTGGTTTTGCATCAAATGTCGTCACAAAACCAACGAAGCACCTGATGCATTTAGAATAAATAGTGCCATCGCCTTTTGCATGCATCCATGGAATCGTGCTAATCTAACCTTCTTTTTTTGTGTCAGTAGCGTTGGCTCCCTTTATTCCTTCTGATCCACATTTTTCGAGCCATTTAATCTGTGATTAACATGGGGCGCCGCTAACTGTGCTGTAGTACATATATGGACATTTTTGATCGACAAACAATTTCAACGCCAACAGGGAGGGTAGATGGAGGATCGAGCGAGAGGCGGAGGGTAAAGGCGAGAGCTTTTTTTTGGGGATCCGAGCGACTCGTTCTCCGCAATTGTTCGTGTCTCCATCGGATCTTAGTGCAAAAAAACAAAAAAAATTGATTATGAGCCAATTTTTTTCCCTTGTCTTTCTTGATTTGATAAAAAAGACTGGTTTTTTCCTTTGAAAGCTTTCTTGATTTTGTTTTCTGTTCCATGGGATAATCCCTCTTTTGTTCTGGAATCTCTCTCCTTGGCATTGTACTATTCCTCATCGGATCCGAGCTGGAAACGTGTAATCTTGACACGACAGATTTAATTTCTACGCCATTAACGGGAATCAATCGAGAAATATGAGCTTTTCGTGGTCCTTCAGGAGCCGCCTTTCGATGGAGGAATCTCTATCCCTCCTAGTTCTGTAGGAGGAAAAGGGAGAGGCGAAAAAAGATGGATTTTTGCCACTCCTTTCTTTCTCTTCGTTGAGGTCTCCCCAGCCGCTGTCTCCTTGTCATGATTGATCGGTATCCTTTGGATTAGATCTTGATTTCCTATTGCTTCAGACTCCAGAGGCATCCGAGTGGCCGTCGCCTCCCGACGGAAGGCTTTGATGAAGATATCTACAAATCTTCCCTGATTCATGGCGAGAAGACAAAAGAGAGAAGCAATTCCTTGTTTCGATTTCTCTCTTGACATCTGTTAGATCTAAAAAAAAAGCTTACCTTGCAGACTGTTCAAATGCCAATGATTTCCTTCTCCCCCCTTTCTCGTCCAGTTAATTGACCCCGCAACTTCTGGTCTGGAAGCCAGGAAATGTCGTTTAAGAGCCTCGTCCGTGAGCTGAGGGATGGGATTGGGAGCATGTCGAGAAGAGGAGGAGGAGCGATGGAAGGGATGATGACCGCGCACAGCCGAGGATGTGCCCCGCATCCGCAGGAGCTGGAAGAGCAGCAGCAGCAGGGGAGGTGGGCGAACCTGCCGCCGGAGCTGCTGCTGGATGTGATCCAGAGAGTGGAGGCGAGTGAGGTGGCGTGGCCGGAGAGGAGGCATGTGCTAGCGTGCGCGGCGGTGTGCCGCTCGTGGCGGAACATCACGAAGGAGGTGGTCAGGTCCCCCGAGCAATGCGGCCAGATCACCTTCCCTTTCTCCCTCAAGCAGGTCTCTGATCGCCTCAACCCCCTTCCAGATTTGGGATCAAATTTGTGTTGGTTTCGCAATTGCTTTGTGGTGTATAGATCTCTTTCTTTCCCTGAAAATTTCAATCTTTTCCTGATCGTCTTTGTAATATCTGGTTCTCAATCTGAAATCAGCCCGGGCCACGAGATCACCCGATTCAGTGCTTTATAAGGAGGGAGAGAGCGACGTCGACCTTCTGCTTGTACCTGGGTCTGACCCCCTGTAAGCAATTCCTTTCTCTGCCTCATTGCTTGCTTCTTAGGATCTACGGTGGTTAACTCAATTGCTTCAGTAATTTGGACTATTCACATATTATGGCAGTTTGATCGGAGATGATTCAGAGATGGGCTTTATTCATCTCATTCTTTCTCCACCCAGTTTACAGAAATTTCTGAATCTATACGTAATTTCCTTTTTTATATCACCGCTCGAAGATTTCTTCCATCAATTTCTGAATGCTTCTTAGTTTATCATATCGGTGAATCATCATGAAACAAATCTCAAGGACAGTGATCTCAGTTTTCTGCGACGGCAAGTGTCACTTGGGATCAAGTGTCACAAATTGTCATGCATCCTGTTATTCTGCTCTATAGATGATTTTTTTTCTAATGCTGTTGACAAACTCTGATAACTGCAGCACTGCAGGGGCAGAGTGACAAGCTTTTGTTGGCAGCCCACAAGATCAGACGTGCAACGAGCACCAACTTTGTGATCTCATTGAATCCTGAAGATTTCTCTCGAGCTAGCAGTACCTATATTGGAAAAGCGAGGCAAGTGTTCTCGTCTACTTCACTCTGAATTGCATTATGCTTTCGTTGCCGTTTGTCTTATGGTCTTTTGGATCTC